AAAAAAAAGAGGGGCAGAAAGGGCAAGCCTTCTGGTTTGCTGCTTTTTTAGGGGCCTTCTAGGAAGTGCTTAGAGTTCCTAAAGCCAGTGACAGGACTATGCATGCCCAGGAGCTGGAATCTCTGCCACACATCAAGATCTCCTAGGCAGCACGGTTTGGCTGTTGGGGGAAGGAGGAGAGAGAAAGGCCAGAAGCTCAGCATCTATAGCATCTTGGCAAACGTGGGCAGCAAGTGGCTGACCATCGAGGAGGCAGGGGAAGGTGGCCCAAACTCTTGCATCTCTCCCTGGGCTCCTGGACTCCTCCAGGCTCCTGACTTCTAGCAGGGAGGCCTGGCCCAGAGCCCAGCCCACTCCCCTCAGACAAACGGAAGGTCTTTCCGCTGCAAGTCCCCCCTCCTCCACCCGCAGGGGGTTCCTGTCTCAGCAGGAATTCATACCAGATTGGAATGAGCAGCTGGGGTTGTCTGGATGGGAGGGTGTGTGGTGGAGGGCAGCGATCAAAGGCTCCAAAGGCTCTGTGTGTGCGGCTGGGGAGGAAGAGAGTGCACCCGCCCCCCTCCTGCCTGTGTGTGCTGGCTGGCCCACAAGTACAAAGAATGAGAGACAGAGACAGAGGCTCAGAGAAAAAGACAGAAGAAATGAAAGACAGAGAGATAAAGAAAGAATAACAGAGAAAAAGACTGAGAGAGGCAGAAAAAGACAGACAATGGACATAGATACACAGAGGCTGGAGACAGAAGGACAGAAGGGCACTAGGAAATGGTGAAAGAAGGAGAAACAGAAAAGAAGTCCAGGACAAGGACAGGGAGGCAGAGACAGAAAAGGAGAAAGAGACCGAGTCTAAGGAAGAGTCACATTTATTCATTCGTTGCACATTTATTGAGTGCCTACGCCATGGCAGGCGCGGATCAAGTAGACACAGTGGTAGGGACTGAGATGCAGCGGTAAAGACAGAAGCTGAGACAGAGACGGAGAGGCAGAGACTGCAAACTGAGACAGAGACTGAGGGAAGGCTGCAGAGATGGGAGAGAGTGGCAGAGATACAGACTGGAGAAAGGGCAGGACGGGTGGGGGGCAGAGGGCGGAGGACCCGGAAGACCTGTCCCTCACCATCCCCAGGGCAGCTTTCCCTCCTCAGTCCCATCCCCAGCGTGCTGCCTCCACTTTCCCCACAGCTGCAGGAGCTCCCTCCCCTCACCCCTGGCTCTTCCTGGCAAGCTCTGGCAAGGCTCTGACTGCTGACAGCCTCCTCCTGTTCCTCCTCCGGTCCCATGTTTCTCTGCCTGAACCCCACGTTAGGATGGAGCCCAGCTCAACTTGGAGGAAGGGGACTAGGAAGTAGATGGGTATAAAAAGCCTTTTCTCCACCCAGAGACCAGCTTAAGACCATTCTTTGGTCCCAGAGAGCCCTCAGGAGATAGGAAAAGGTGCAGGTGGTGGGGAGGAGGGTGGGGGTGTGAACATGTGGTTAGAGCTTTCAGAATAGCCAAGGTACACCCCTCTTCCTGCTGGGGTCTGTGTGCCGGCCCCCAATACATCAAGACCTCCCTGAAATCTTGAACTGAGGGAAGAAGCCATTTGCAGCGAATACTGAGCCCTCCCCCCATCTCCTCCCACGTCATCACTGAGAAAATGCCGCAGAGAAGAGGGTGGGCTGGAGAATCAGTCACCTACCCGCTGGTGCCGGGTCTCTGGGCCTGAGAGAAACGCCAGTCCGTGTTGGGCGGGGCTTGCTGTGGAGAAAACAGAGGGAGAGGGGCTGAGTACCCGTGAGAAGTCAGAATGTCACCTGGAGTCCTTGGAGATGGGCCAGGAGAGAAGGAGGGGAGTAGGCACAGAGAAGAAAATGGGTAAGATGGGGGAGGGGTAGACTCATCTCCAGAGACAAAACATACCTCAGGTCTCAGAGGTCTGAGGTACCACAAACAAAGAGATAAATGTCATTTGACCACAGTGAGCAAGCCCAGATTCCTTTGCTAAAGAAGCAACCCCTTCCTCCCTGCCTCTAGAGACAGAACTTCTCAGCCAAAATTCAAGGGCTGAAGGTGTCTTCTGTGGAACCAGGAAAAGAGGTGCAGGGAAGGCCCCCAAAAGTGGCAGAAGAGGCTTTTAAATGAGAATTCCACCATCCCTAGAATGGATTTATTCAACTCCTCAGAACAAAGCATCCTCTGCAGCAAGATGGCTGCTGCTCCGGGTAACCCTTTCCATGCCAGGTTGTGCAGTGATGATTCATTCAGAGGGACACCTCCCTCAGGCCCTTGGCTCTCAAGGACCTCTTCCCACAGCTAAATACATTATTAATTTAGGAGTCATGCCAGACTGGCCCTTTGCAGGGCATCCAAGTCTCAGGACACTTCTCACCCCCAGAACTCCATGCCAGACAATGGTCTGTAACTAAGGAGGAGAGAACAAGGCTGCTCTGTCTGAGACAGAAAACGGTTGGGATGGAGGCGGGAGGGCTCAAGCTCCCACAGCCTCTAAGCAGAGCCAGCTAAGTTGCCAGGCTCCCACGGGGCTGATCTGTAGCCATTTCCCACCTGGCTGAAGGTGTGAGGCTCTGGCCAGCCACTTTACTCTCTAGTCCCTCGTGGGGGTATGTCATCACGTCACACACACTGCTCATGGAGCACTCCTAGAGCCATCTCCTCACTGCTTCTGGGGTGTGCTGGCAGTTAATACTCACACTTGCTCCCAGGAGCAAAAAGTGTGAGCATGTCAGATGACACTGGGGAGAAGGAAGACCCAGGACTGCCAGTGACTCACCCTAAGGCTCACAGAGGGCAGTGATGTGAGCAGAACCCAGAAATCTAGCATCCCAGGTGCCTCAGGGGCACTAGCACAATTCTGGGGGCTGCCATGAAGAAGGGCTCCAGGATGTCCAGCCCCCAGCCCCTGTATTCTTAGACACAGGAGAATCCACATGGAGAGGCAGGTAGCATGGTTGGAGGAAAGGGAGCCAGACCAAACTCAACCCACTAAGGACAACAGGTCCAAGTTTGTCCAGTGAGGACTGCTCAGGGAGGAGGAGCCCAAGAAGAGTTTTCTCATGTCGGGTCCTAAAAGGGAAAGACCCCACTCCTGTCCATGCCAGCAGAGGCAAGCCCTCTCTCCTGTCCTTAAGCTTTGCAAGTTCCAAGTGCTAAGTGATTAAAAGCACAAATTCTGGAGTTACACAGACCAGGGTTAGACTGACTCTCTATCACTTGGTCTATGAACTTCAGCAAGCCACTTGACCTCTGTAAAACTGTTATAAGATGGAGATGTTAGTACCCATCCAACAACAGTGGTGGGAAGAGCAAATGGGACGATGTGGTTCTCACGGGTGTACAGTAAGGCTCTCTCAGTCAGCTACCCAAATCACCTGGGAGTGTTTCAAATATGAATTCTGATTCAGTAGGGGTAGTGCTAGGCATAGATATATTTCGAATAAATGTTCCTGGGGTTGTCAAAACTTGTGTTTTTTACTGTTACAGTTTCCCCACACCCTGACATCCGGCAGGGCCTGTGGTTTTCCATCTGCCACAGGCGAAAGAACTTGCCAGAGTCTCAAATACTGTGGTAACCTCCAAAGCCCTGACCCTAGATCACTGGGCACAATGTGGTCACGACGGAGCCAAAAGCCTTTCTCTGAGCGCCCAGAGCCCCAGGTGCTCCAGGCACCCACTTCCCCGGGAGGAAGGTGCCGCTGGTGCCACTGGAGTCCCAGGCCTGTTGTCCTACAGAGACCCGCTCACTGGCTCAAGGCCGAGCTCCGCCACACCTCGGGCCACAGGGCCTGTCAGCCAGCCCGAGGATTCTGGACTGAGGGGCCTCGGCCCTCCGCACAGAGCTCTGGGGCCGGGCGGGACAGCCGGCCCATGGGTCATAGAGTCCCACCCGTCCCTAGAGCGCCAAGAGTCGCTCCAGCGCTCTCCGCGCCGACCCCGAGCCCAGGACGCGGATGGGAGGAGGCTTCGAGGTCCTAACCTGGTCCTGGGCAGCAGCGACCTGGGACCTTCACCAGGGCGCGCACAGTCAGCCGCGAGTACCTCTGAGGCCGGCGGAGGAGGGTTGTGAGTGGGCCGAGGACAGTCCGTGTGAACCTGGCAGCGAGCGAGTGGCAGTGAAAGCTGGTGTACGTGTGAGCCCAGGTGCACGGGGGTGTGTGCATGTGCGCGCACTCGTGTTGCTGAGGCATGGCAAGCCCTGCCCCGGGTGTAGCCCATGGGTGTGGCCTGCAGGGAGGACACGCGTGAGCCCTGAGCGCGCACCTAAGTCCTGTACACAGATGCAGTTGGGCAGTGTGGGGGTAGGCAGGGTCGAGGAGGATAACAGCGACGTTACAGATTGAGGAGTGGGGAGAACCCAAAGAGGAAACCTAAAGACCGGCGGAACGTGCAGGAGCCAGCGCGGAGGAGGCTGGCTGCAGGGGTGGCTCTGTGACTGCCTCCACCCGGGACCCCCAGCACCCGCGGAAATTGCCAGATATTCACTGGAAGCTCGGCGGGACCCCATCCTTTGCTGAGTGTGGAGGCGGGGGTCGGTCCCACCTCCTCTCGCCCACAAGCGCTACCGCCTCCCAGTGCTGCCACCTCCCAGTGCTCGGAGTCCCATCCCGCCTCGGCCACTCCTCTGGTTCCGCGCCATCAGTCCAACGGTCCCGAGCGAGCGCAGCCAGCGACTGAGCCAGCCGAGAGGAGTGGATGCAAGTTCAGAGTCCCTTAGGAGGGCCGGTGGCTTCTCCAATGCCGCCCCCAGAGGTCGCCCGGGGCGGCACCGAGCCCCTCACCTGGCTCGGATCCCGCAGCGTATTAGAGCGGGACCTGAAGGCGTCAGGCTCCAGCGCCAGAGCTGAGGGCTGCTGAACGCTAAGGGGCCTTAGAAAAGTGAAGTCACTGCCGTCGGAGGCCGGTGAGAAGCACGTCCTGTAGCAATGGCTGTGGGAGTCTGTGGGCCGCAGCGTCACCTCCATGTACTTGAGCGTGCCGTCTGAGCTCACTTGCAGGTTGGGGCTGGACTGCTTATAGAAGTCCGGGGAGCGAGAGTCCTGGCGTCTGCAGCACTGGCCCCCACCCCCGTCCCCATCTGCGTGCCCCTGAAGGCACTTAGCTGACATAAAGGTGAAGGTGACTAAAGATAAGAGACTGACAGTTGCTAGAGCCACAATGAGGTAAAGGGTAAGGTCTGAACGCTCAGGAGGGTGTGTGAGGAAGTCACTGGATTTGGGCATTTCCTCAGGGTTCTCATCCTCCAGAACCAGCAGTACTGTGGCTGTAGATGAGAGTGAAGGGTCACCGTTGTCTCTCACCAGGACCACCACCTGCTGGGTGTCAGAATCATCCTCCAGTAAAGCCCGGGCTGTGCGCACCTCACCAGTATGGGTAGACACAAGGAACAGTCCAGGGGCTGTGGACTGAGGCAGCAGTGAATAGGAGAGCCATGCATTGTGGCCTGCATCAGCATCCACAGCTGTCACCTTGGTGACCAAGGAGCCAGGAGGAGCAGAGCGAGGGAGACGCTGGGGGGCCGAGTGTTCCCGGCCCGGCCGTGGGTGCAACACAGCTGGGGCATTATCATTCTGGTCTAGGACAAACACATGCAGAGATGTGTTGGCATGCAATGGGGGAGAGCCAGAGTCTCGAACCCCCACCACAATCTGCAGCATCTGCAGCAATTCATAGTCAAAGGTACGCTGGGCGAAGACCCTTCCATCCTCAGGGTTGACATATACAAAGGAGGCGGCTGGGGCTCCCTGAACCTGACTTCCTACAATGGAGTAGGTGAGCCGGGCATTATCCCCAGTATCTGCATCTGAGGCAGCCACTGTGCAGAGAAGGGAGCCTGGAGGCCGGTTTTCTGGGATGTAAGCAGTGTAGAGTTGCTGGAGGAATTGGGGTGCATTGTCATTAACGTCTGAAATGTTGAGCCTGATAGTGAGATGTTTGTGCAGGGGAGGTGAGCCAGCATCACTGGCCAGCAGCTCGATGATATAGTGAGATGTGACCTCCCGGTCCAAGGGCTGGCTGGTTAGCAGCGAGTAGTGGTTCTCAGAAGGCTTAATCTGAAACGGCAGGTCTGGAGAGATAGCAAGGCTCACTTCACCATTTCTACCCGAGTCTCGGTCCCGCACATTAAACAACCCCACCACTGTGCCCACTGGCGTGCTCTCCAGGACAGGGTTGACCAAAGAGGCCAGTAGCACCTCTGGGGCATTGTCATTGGCATCCCCCACATCCACTTGAATCACACAGTGGCCTTCCATGGCTGGCTGTCCCTGGTCACGGGCTCTTGCATGAATTTCATAGAAACTTGACTCCTCAAAGTCTATGGGACCCAACACATGGATTGCTCCACTGCTAGGGTCTAGGCCAAAGAGATTCCGCACGGCCTCAGATGTATGGTCTCCAAAAGAATAGTCTAGTTGGCCATTTGTGCCCTCATCTGGATCAGTGGCATTGAGGCGAAGCAGCAGTGTACCCATAGGCGTATTCTCTGGGAGTCCCACACGTAGAACTGAGGACTGGAAGGTTGGAGCATTATCATTGACGTCCAGCACGATGACAGAGATTAGGGTGGTCCCTGAGCGGGCTGGGGTACCCCCATCCACAGCAGTGAGCACCAGCTGATGTCTTGCCTGGGCTTCACGATCCAACTGCTGCTCTAGCACCAGCTCTGGGAACAGCTTGCCATCTTTTAGGGTCTTCACATTCAGAGAGAAGTGGTTGTTGGGGCTTAGAGTGTAAAAGCTCAC